TTATTTATAGATTAATCAAGGGAAACTCAAAAAATATAAACGATAGCCCATTGAAATGTGTTATACAAATTATGAACAGTCTAATCGAAAAAGAAAATTCATCAAAATGTAAGGTTGTAGTGATATTTAAAGCTTTATCCGCATCTCATTCTAGTCCAACAGTAAGATATACAATAAACGCATGTAATTATTTTAATTTAATCTTGGCTAATATATCAATAACAATTAAATTGTATAGATATTTTTATTATTAATACCTTAAATAAACAAATATTTATTTAAACTAAATCATGAAATAATTTTTTAAATCCTTAAAAATATATTATTTTATGTAAACACAAAACTTAAAAAGATATTTTAAATAATATAATTATACAAATTTGTATTAGTTATATATTGTATATTATTTATACAATGATTATGTCAAGCAAGATTCTATACTGTTGTGAATTCTTAAACTGTGAAGTTTGTATTAATAATATATTAACATTAATTAATCCCAGCATAAATTAAATCATTAACCTTAATCTGTTTATTTATTACAGTAAATTCAATTAAATTTTTTATTCATCTCTAAACTGTTAATTATGTATTGTTAAATAGCTATAATTAAAAAGCACGATCAATGTTAGATATCAAATTTACTATTAAATTTAATAATTTTTTAGAAATTCAATATTAATGAAAATAAATAATGTAATTTATGGTTTTTAGTTTGTAAAATACAATCGCCGTGTAAGACAACGATATCCACTTGAAGATCATGATCCTAATTCACAGGACAGTGGTTTAATGAATTCTTAGACAATGCTGTATCCCCAACAAGATCGGTAATTATTTTACCTTTTAAAAAGGTTAACAGTTTTTTTCCTAATTTTATTTTATTTCTAGTCTCCAGATTCACTTCTACTTGGATTCAGTACATTAATAGAAGGAGATATTATTAGCCAGACATCAATTATTGTTAAAAGAAAAATTACAAAATATTCTTCAGATACTCCTCGCAAGACTGTAATTATTATAAAACAATTTATTATTTCAATAATCATAGATTTAATACATGTATAACTTATAGGATTTATTGTTTGGTGATATTAAAAATAGTGAAGCAGTTGTGAGAAAAAGAAAGTTGACACGTGATTTAGAATCAAATCCTGAAACTAATGTATTATTAAAGAAAACTAGACCTAGTACAAGTCTTTCTATGTCATTTGATTCTCCATGACTTGATTACATAAACAGTCCTTTAACTGCCCCTGTATCTCAGGGAAAGTGTACTTTATTTGATTATGGATTTTGTAAAAAAGAAAAACCAGTTTTTTGACGTTCACTTTCTACTAGTGAAGCTTCTATTAAAGCTGCTTTTGAAAAAGGTAGAAAATAAAGAAGATTACTTTTTTAAATTATTTATTCATTTTTAATACTCATTATAAATAAATATAATTAATAAGCGATCATGTTTATTATAAATAATGCTTTAAAAGTGATAATATTTGAACTGTTACTCTATTTAAAATATATTGTTAGTTAAAAGGTCAAGTAATGTAAACATTACTTTTTTCAAATTAGAGTTATGATAGAATTAATAATAAACAGTTGAATAAATATTTAACAAAAAAAAAAAATCAATTAAATCATTGGCCACAAAATATTTATTCCTATCTAAAGTCATACCAAAAATTAATTTTAGGGGATTTACTACTTTATCTATTAANAATTTAATTTTAGGGAATTTACTACTTGATCCATTAACTGATATAATTATTATAAAAAATGTTTTCCTCTAAAATTGTTTGTAATTAATAACTTTATTATTTCATTATAAATTATCTTTATGATATTTTTTATAATTTTAATAGATAATTTGTATTGTTATGATGTTTAGAGGATACTGAAGAGAAACTAATTGGTGACTTTAGCAAATCATTTGTTTTACCTTTAATGCCATTTGGTCGTCATGCTGATCTCTGTAGTATATCCCCAGAAACATTAGCTGAGTTACTGAATGGAGCTTATGATGACTTTATTGATTCTTATCTTATAATTGATTGTAGGTATATAATAACATATATTTTTTGCCTTCAATTTCAAACTTACAACTGATTTTCATATTTTTAATTAAAAATTCTAGATACCCTTATGAATTTGAAGGTGGTCATATTAGAGGAGCTGTTAACATTTTTACTAAAGAACAACTATTAAAAAATTATACTGAAGATCAGTTAGGTAAACGATCTCCTAAAAATTAATCCAATAGAGGTAAAAGAAACTTATTGATATTTTACTGTGAATTTTCTTCAGAAAAAGAACCAAGTTTGTAAGTATTTTATTTTAATAATTTATTTAATGGTTTAAAAAATTAATAAATGACTAAAAAAATTTCAATTTTATGTAAATTAACTATTGGGTAATATAGGATTACATTTTTCAGTCATTTCTTTTAATATTAATTGTTATTTATACTATAACCCCTGTTGGTCGAGGTTATAATAGACCAGGGGTGGCCAAACCTATTAATGATGAAAAGTAACCAAGAGCTCAAGAAAATAGTATCAAGAAGAAAAAATGATCGATGGCATATAAATAAATTAAAAGAAGAAAAGTGTTATAATTCAAATAACAAAAATTAATAAAATAAAAATAATGATGGGGAACTGGGTTTTTGTATATAGTGAGAACCTGATGTTGTGGTTCTATTGGGGTCGTATGGTTCGAGGGTTTAGAACAATAAAGACAAGTAGATATAAAAATATATGTTAAGTTCCTCTTATAGAGGTATAATAAACTTTTGTCTGATTAGTTTCTAATGTCCTAACTAAAAGGCAACGAGACGGCAGAGCCAGTCCATGAATACCAGAGCCTAATTTATTCAGTAGAAATCACGCTAGGTTTTTTAAAACATCTTTAAGGCAACGAAACGGCAGAGCCAGTTCACGAATACCATATAACGTGATTATGTATAATTTCTTAACCAACCAGTCCAAATTGACACTTTAAGATATTAATTTAATAAATGATCTATTGCTTTGTCATCCTTTACTCAAACTTATTTACTCCAAATAATTGGGATAACATAAAATTACTTACTTCTTTTATTCTTGCAAATTGCTGTAAAATGATTTGATAAATATCTCGATGTGTGTATATATGTTTAAAAGTATTTAATTTGCACTTCGTCAAAAGATAAATAATAGAAACAAGTTCTTTTCATATATAAATAAAACGCGTAAAAGTCAGCCAACAACAACACAAGGCTGTGACTGATAATTGTTACTTTTTTATTCTTAATCCAATCCGGAGAAAACGAACTCTCTCGCTCGCTGTCACTCCTTCTTCTCTCCATCTCTCTGGAGTCTGAAAGGATTTCAGTGCTTTTTATAGTAAAATGATAGTACCCCCAATCCAGGGATATTGTTGTCAGCGCTTTTAGTGATCTTTTTAGTTTATTATATTTAATTATACATTACATAATTATTATATTGAGATAACATATTTAACAATTAATAAATAATTTATTAATTATTGACATATATATGTGGGTACCATTGGTATCTAGATGGCACCACTTCCAGGGTCTGGAGATAGATAGTGGTATCAAGTATTATAAGAAGGGAAAATTAAGTCAGTCGTGAGTCGGCTAAGACGTGTCTCTATGTATATTTTAACTTCGATGCGAAGCTGAGAAGGTATTGGTTTTACTAAGATGTGTTTTTTTTTTTTT